GGGAACGCCGCCGCAGAGCCATCCCCCTGCGGCCCGCTGTCGGGTCTGTCGGGCTTTGGGAAGCATCCCAGCTCCAGGAACTGGACACGCATGAGCCGCACACCTCGGGACCGTCTCCTCCACGGCCTCACCAAACTTCAGGATGACAGCAGCACAAAAACCGGTAGTGAAAACCTTAAAAAAACCCTTGTATTTCATGTACTAGGTGTAGATAAGCGTGACAAATCATTTTACGGAAAAGTGCCAAGTGGTGAAATCACAGCATCTCCAAACCAAACTACGAATCGAGTTCAGATGTCGGTATTTTCTGTCTTGGAACTGCTGATCGCTGCAGATGATGCAGCCGCAGGTGGTCATGCTTTAATTGCTGCGGTTTCATTTTGTCAAGGTGCTTCCACCCTGCAAATATCAGAAAAGTCTTTTGCCGGACATGAACTGGTATCTAATGACCTAACGTAGATGTGCAAAAAAGAAACTCCAACTGAAAGTAATTTTTCTAATTTAATAGAAATAACCAAAGCAAAATGGTTTTCAAACAATGCTTTAAACTGATCTAATACAACTTCTACAGCACATTCCAGAGCACTTAACAAGAAATATTTACAGGCAGCTAACGTATTAAATAACCATGTAAAGAAAAACTTATTTTTTATTACACACCAGCAAAAAACACAGGAACAGAACAATTAGAAACGGTAACCTTGTTTAAAAAAAGTTAAATATGATTATTCAGATAATACAATACCACAGAAACAGCACTTTTTTGAAGAATCATATTAAAAGATGAGCAAAGTTTACTATGTGCAAAAAAGAACCAGTTCAATTAGTGGAAGCAAGAAGTAATTGAAGAATCAAAGAATGCCATGAATTTAACCCTTCCATGAGAACATTTACATGTAAAACAGGCTTCCAACCACACAAATCTTTATAGGCTTATATACATGTTTCACGGTGTTCTGAACCTAAGAAATACCCCCATTTGCAGGCCATTAGCAGACATGCACTTTTTTTTGTTTTAAATGTAGCTCACACTCTCGAGTGAACGCTGCAACAAGTCGAACTTATAAAATATTTTAGTACTTCTCCTTGTAGAAATTCAATAAATTCTAAAGAAAGCAGCCTTGAGCTGAAAGATCACCCAATAGAAAAGGCCAGAACTGCATTTCATATATTTAATAGTTCACTTACAATAAAGATACCCAAATTAACTGCAATTTTGGAAAACTAATTCAATTCAGATACATTAGAAAGCATATAAAGTAGGATCCCCATAAGCAAACACAGGAACTAGATGGACCGTACACGCACTCCGAGAAAATAAAAGAAATTGCCGTATCTGAAGATACAATGCATATGTTCAATCTGAAATATGTCTATGTAAACTGTGGCATATAATTTTTTTTTTTTTAAAAAAAGTACCTCCGTTATTTACTCAAACACCTACTTTTTAAAAAAATATGTAACTTTCCCCAATTTTTAAAATAAAATGCCACACTATATTGTCAATAACTCCTGCACACTTTGTTTTTAAAAGCTAGACTTGGTGATATGCATACAAACTTTCCTATAAAATCACTATCCAAAGTAAAGGATTCCTGTCATGCTAATAGGCAACAGACAAAGCAGTTTTATTGCTTTTTCCAAGGAAGAGAGTAAGAGAAACCAGAAAAAGCCAACTTCCAGTACATCATACCCATAGCTTTAAAATACTGTTGCCATTACCTAAACTTTTAGGGGTCAACCAATAAGCTGGGTTATACAACAGAATGATAAATTCGGGCTAATTTTAAGGACTTCTGTTCCAGTGGCTTGCAGAAACGTTTATAAAACACTTCTGTGATCCAGTGTTAAGTGTGCCGACAGGGTCAAACGTCACAAGCAACACCAATGGTGACATCCACCCCCCCCCCCCCCCCCCCAACCTCTCTGCATTTAACAGCGTGTTTCTATTTTCAAAAGTTTGGGGAACATCCTTTTTTTGGATAGTAACTCTGCCTTATTATACTATAGGCCACTTAATTCCAGGGCACAGTTAAACAAAAGACCTGAACCTATTCAGCTGGTTATCACTAATCACTAGTAATTACATGGCAGGATACCTGCTGAGGTAATTGAGAAGTCCACGAGTAGCATACTGTACACTTTTCACTCTTATTTCAAAAGCAAGTCGCCTTTTACTTCTTTGGATTAACTTAAACTTCAGGGTCATTTACAACAACAACAAAAAAATCGAGACGCGAACGGTCTTTTTTACAAGCGTCTTAAGCAAGAGCATACGGTTACATCAAGCGCCAGACTACCTTCTTGCTGTCACGTTGGAACACCGCGATCGTGCAAAGGAGCTGGCACGCTGAGCGCGCCCACCGCATCCTTCATCTGCCAGAAGTTTTACTGATGTAAGCGATGCTCCAGGTTGCTCGCACATATTGCACACACAGCATAGAGAAGATGCTCAGAGAATCACAGTGGGCGTTAATACAAACCCCATTAATTTGCTCTTGAACAAGTTAGATACGGCGCGGCACCAAAAAGTTGTTTGGACCGAGCAAACCCTTACCAGATCTATGATGAACATTTACAGACTACAGAATCAGGAAATGTATTAGCAGAGCTTATCTAATCTTGCAAATATTTTTTAATAGAATTTAGCTAATTTCAAAACAATCACTGAATTGTATTGGGAGTTCCAAAATGAAAGCGGGGGCGGGGGGAGGGAAGGGAGAACATCGTTTTCTTTTTGTATACAAAAGAAACACTTACTTCTTGCACACAAATCAAACTTCCACATGCTACTACTGAGCACTGATGAGCGGAACGGAAGGACCAGTTCCAGGAGTTCAGTGGGCTATGTGCAAGAGGAGAGCTTCAACTCTCATCACGTCAAAGCTTAGCATCACTTCTGGCATGCAGGTGAACTAGTGGAAAACAGGCTGAGTCGCTAGCCTACAAAGTTTGGCAATTTTTCTACCTTGTCATAGGGAGCAAACCATACAGAGAGGCCATCTCAAAACATTTAGACATCTGCTCTGGGGTCTGGTACCTGGGGCTTGGGCGGAAAAGAGATGGCACCGTTCCTGCAGCGGCGAGGGAGCAGGCGCTGCCCCTGAACCACAGGTCCGTAGTCTGGTCCTTCCCCCAGTCTAGGATGCCACCACGCTCGTCCTACGCTCCAGGTTCAGGCAGCGGGTATCTGCAATACTCGAATCCGCGACCGGTGCCTTACGAGGTGCAGAGTTAAAAAGCTGAGGTCTGAAGGTACGGCACCTAGAGTGCTTAAGCGCCGTAAAAATAGTAACCCCAATTGAAGAGAATTCACAAAAAAATCTTATTTTCATGATAATTTTAATAATATTCCTTTGCAAAATGAAGCTGAGAAACTAGAAATGCATAAATAGGCAATACACAGAGCCATTAAATGATCCCTCGTTACTATTAGTGTCCTATTCACACACGCCATCCTTTCTACGGGCAAAGTTTTTGCTATTTGTCAATTCAATATGTTTAAGTAGAATTACTTTTCCTTTCACATACAAACTGGTAAAAAATAAAATTAAACTGGCACTATGTTAATATCTGAGAAATGGAAAAAACCACCACCAGTTTGAGTTTACATTAACGTTACACATTTGTGTAATCTAAAGAAGTGAGCTTGAAGTTACAAATACCTTCAGTCCCCTTATTTATTGTAAGAGAGGTACAGTCACAATGTACATGTACTTTGTTCTTAGAAAAAGAAATCAAATCTTAAGTGATTTGCATAAAAATTGCTGAGACCATATCTCAGTTTGATACATTGTGCTAAAATATTCGTCTTTACCACTATGGTAAAGTGTATACAATGTCACAGGAATTGCTCGTGCTGAGTATATCAAAACCCCAGTGATTTACCACAGAATTGCTGTATTCGCACAAAATCTTACGGCGAATTTATAGTCTGTCAACTTGACCTCATCCGATTACATGATTTCTTCATCTTACTTCACCAAGATCTACACAAAGGCCAGAAATTACATTTCTTATTTCTAGTATTGATTTCTGTAAAGGAAACAACTGCTCAAACTGTAATTACTTTGTGATGACCTCATTTCTAACCAGAAACGCTGGAATGAAGGCAGAGTGCAACGGGAAGGCACTGCAGAGATGCCTGCCACAGGGTTTAGGAAAATTGTTCTATTTTCAACATTTGACCAGAAACCACTCAAAGCCAAATCCTGGTCTGTGCAAGTGCTTTGTTCAATGGATGGACAAGTAACCCAATCTCAACAGATTTATTCCAATCTTTCTAGACATTTCGCTCATAAGCTGCTTCTGAAGAAAGTTCTGAGTAGTACTCTAATAAAAATAAGACAGAAGCTCAAAATGAATGCAATGTTAGAAATAGCATATATTACAAATCTTTTCTTGATAGGAACAATTAATAAGAATACATATTAGCTTAAAAACAGTTCAGCAAATGTTGCTGATCTGCAAGAAATCTCAATTCACTATTTACAAATAAGACAAAGTGAATACAGGAAATTTTACACATTTGGTAGTTAATAGGTTATTGTTTGCCGAGTGGTCTGTTAGAAACTGATATTTAGGAAGACTGGAAAAACACCCCAACCAGTTTTTACCTCTTCAGTCTATATTTTAAGTACAGAAAATTAGACAATGAATACTGGAGATAACATTCTGCCTCATTAGGGGGATCAGGGACAGATGACACAGTGCTAAGACTTCTGCCATGAACGCCATTAAAATGTTCTGTGTACAGGATTCAAAATAAATATACCTAGCCCTACTGAAAAGAGATTGTTGCCACCAGTTTAGTCTTTCATCTGTCAAGAACTCACACTCCTGCGCTTGCCAATTCAGAACAGTTTAATGATTTTTTTTTTCCTTTTGCTATACATAAAACGTAGTAAAGAAAGTCAAATTTAGATAATTGGATCAACACAGAAGATCAGTTATTCACAATACCGCTTAAATGAGATGATAAAAGCAATGACCAACACGCACTTAAGTTCACACAAAGAGGGGATTTCAGGAACATTGCTTACGGTTTACACTGCAGTCCAGCATGAACGCAAGATACAGTAACTGTATCGGTCCAGTCCTGCAGAACGTTTTACTAAGCAGTCTTATCTGTACATGGAACATCTCTTATCAAATCTGTTTCTCTTCAACATTCATCCACCTCTATCGGTGAGACCAGGATGTGTGTGTCCCCTCCATCAGGAAAAGAAAGAATATAGCAAATAATCAAGGAAAAAAAAAAACACCAAAAATTTACAATACAGTTTTTTTCCCCTTTTGATGAGAATGCTTTTCTGTACAAGTGGGTTTTTTTTGTATTCTAATACTGTTTAAAAAGCTATCAGCTTCTTCAAGATGGCCACTGTAGGCATGATAATATTCCAGGAACACTTAAATAACAGTTTTTACAATAAATTTTAGGTCCATATCATTAGATTACTTTATATGCACTGGTCTTTCATCTGATTTTAGGCGTTTTCTACGTGGTTGTATAAAATCTTCATCGGAGTCCTCAGTTATTTCACCATCATCCTCTTCCTGCTCAAATTCAGGCAAAGGCTGGAAGGTCCTGTCTGGGTAGATCTCTGTAAGTTTATCTTCAAAGTATAATGCAACTGCCTTCCCTGCCTGCGCTACTTCTGAATCAGCCTGTAAATGAAAGAAGACAGGAATATTCACCTGTTGGAAATGCACATCCCTTCACCAAGTGTGCATGGTCTGAAACGCTTACCTTCAAATTAATCTCTTGTGTTTCTGCATAAACTTGAACAACTTTCATCATCTAAAAAGGATACCAGAGTCAAAAAAAATGAAATTATAATCCTTTCTAAAGTTATGAGATTGCATAGGATTGGATGACAAGTCAGCCATAACAACAAAACAGTTTGTTATGGGCTACACCTCTTTAGTTCTCAAACTTAGCGGAAGCAGGTTTAAAACAGTCTTAGGAGGGTGACATGAGGCAAATAAACCTTCAACAAACCACACAACTTTTGTACAAATAAGTGTCTCCCAGTCATTTTCAAAACTGTGCTCTACTCATGACTGCTTGCTGCATTATAAATTTTAGCTGCCTGGACATTATTGTGGAAAAGTCTCACTTTAGAGACAAGTGCTCCATGAGACTACTTTCTTGGGGGTCTTACCCCGCTTTGATTTCTTTTTTTTAGAAGCATATGGCTTAGAGGCACTACAATGATGCTATTACGAGAGGTCAGGGTGACTCATCTTTTGCCATAAGCCAGGATTTCAAACAGCAAGACAAGTCTGAAACACCTTTTTTTTTTAAATATATTTTTAAAAAAACCCCAAAACCAAAGCACATCCATCAGTCCTTGCTCCTTTCTTTTACGCTCGTCCCTAAGAGCTGCAGCATGTTTTTCCTCTACAGTAGACGCTTCATTAATTCCCTTGATTGAGAAGTTCACATAATTGCAACTTCTTCCACAGTGCTCATTAACCTCCACCTAATACAGAGACATAAGGGAGTCGGGGGTGTCAAAGTCCCAAATGCTTGTGAGCATTTACAGCATTACATCATTAACCTTGATTTTTACTAGTGTACTTGTGAAACAGCTGAGATTTTAATTGTAGGCTTGCGTACTTCCTTCACTTCTGCACAGAGCCAGAAATGCAGCCCAAACACTGCAAAACTCAGATTACATTTTATAGAAAAATGCTGGTTGTTTTACGCGTTTCTAAGGTGAGAAGAAAGCAATTCCCTGCGATGTCTGCTCCCCAGGGCGTTTTGTCATCCTTGCTTTAAGGCATCTCAGAAATGAGGATACCCTCTTAGCTCCTACTCTGTTTCAGTATAATATCACAAATTTTTTTTGATATTCAAAATACTTTTTCCAAATTTCACCTAATAATAACACCTAGGTAATTTATCTCCCCAAGTCACGTTTCACACGTAAAGTGCAAATATTTCATTATCAGATGGGTTCATTGCAAAGTCAGTCAACTTTCCACCATTCATCAAAAGTATGACTCCATACAGAAGTTATCTACTGAAAACTGATTTTTGTGAGAGCCCAATGACCCACGAGCTAAAGCACTAAGCTCAATACCAGCCATAATGAACACAATGCTTTTCTGGATTAGCCTGCAAGAGGTACTAGAACCAGTAGAACATTTCTCAGAAAGGCACTTTTCCTCAGTGGAGGAAGTTTCCTCAGTAGAGGTCTACCATGTTTCATCAGAACAATTCTCTGCATAGCTTGAGATAGTTTTAAGGACTGCTTGATTGTCCTTATTACCACACTTCCTAAGCACTTCTACAATCTATTCAATGTACAGTAACAAGGTCACCCTGCTCCTCAGTCATATATCCATACCAGTGAATGCACTTAAAACTTCCCTCTGCAAAAGCTTGAACTCCCATTTAGCTAAAAATCGAGAGGCAGTGCTGTAATTGCATTTGTTTTGCTTGTCTTAAGTGTCTGATTCAGCATCTGCTCCACAAGCAGAAGTTACAACTGGAAGCAGAGCCTTTAATTGGAGAAGCTGCACAACCATGTTGAAATAAATCTTAAATCTAAAAAAATGTATACAGATCGGAAGTTAACATACTTCATTAAACCTTTCACAGTTCTTGAAGATCAACCGGACGTCTGCCACAAAATCCTCAGGAGTCTGATAGTGTTGGGAATGCTTCTTTTGCAGTTTCTTTTTCACCGTAGATAAATCCATTGGTTTCTTTATAATTTTATAGTAGTTTGGTATCTGTAAAAAACAAACAGTGATTTATCACTACAATGACTACTTAGTTCACAGAAGCAGCTGCATTTCTTCATTTATCAAAATATCAATCAGCTAATCTCATTATACACTGTACGCGTGTTGGGCAAGTGAGAACAATTTCCTTTCCTCAAACTGTTTAAGAAGTTCTTTCTAACCTTCAGTATCTATCATAGCACAGCAATGTTTTTCATGATAGTTACTTCTTTTACAGCTGAAAACAGAAGAGTCAAAGCAGTTTCTTTCCTCCTTTCCTTTAAAAGATTGTCCAAAAAATAAAGCTCTCCTAAAGCATTTTGAATTTCATGGGTATCCTGAGACATCCCCTTCCAATTCAACAACTGCTAATTGAAAGTATTTTTAAATATCTGGGCTTGAGACTGAGAGCAGAGTCTCTGCATCAAGAAGCTACTGAATCAGCTTTTCTCTCAGAATCATTAAATACTGGACAACTACCAGAACTTTTAGATTGATCAAGGGGACAGGCTTCAAGTTACAGCAGTCAGTTCCTTCCCAAACTCAACTCTAGACTTTTTGAGATGTTATGCCAAAAATAAATCACAAATTATTTTTCAGGAGACTCACCGAGGCTGGGACTGGCTCTTGAAATTCAATGCTCAGCTCGTGACAATACAGGTAAAGCAGGAGACGTTCACATTTCTTACAAAGAAATAAAGAGTTTCACATTAATATCCTTAATTTACCCTCAGCCCAGAAGTTCATACCTCCCTATTTTAAATAGGTTTGTATTTTAGCAGCTTAGTACTAGAAAATTTAAATGCAATCCACACAAGCTTAATTATAAAATGTAAAGTTCTTAGGAGGGCATTGTTGAGAGGGTAGAACACCTGACTGTGCACATAGCAGAAATGTACTCCCTTTTTGCTTTCTTCTTTCTACACAAAGATCTAGGGCTAAAGTCAAAGATGAAGAGGCACGCTAATATACAGTCAAATTATTAAAAAAAAAAAGACAAACTACAAATGCTTTTGTCCAACCATAACTGCACATAATAAGGAAGGACTGGAGTTGTGGACTTTTATTCGTTTTATTCTTTTCCCCACGAGACAAAAACAATTTGAAACCAAAGTGAGAGTGTTTCTATGAATTCCCCATTGAAATATTTTTCCATCCTTTGCTTGTAATTCCTTTGGAGGAATTTGATTGATAATAGTCCGACACTTTATGCACAGGCCGACTGATAACGTTAAAAAATAATTCTGTCAAGGTCATTACACCTTCCACAAGAACGCACCTAAATACTTGTGGCACCTCTCACAGCTTGAACTTAACACACCAAACTTGCGTAACTATTTTTAAGAAGGTTATATCAATGTTAAATGCAAAGAACTTCTAATTAAGAACACTGAAGAGATTAATGCATGTTAAAGGATGCATTTAAATACAGAATATGTGTTTACATGCAAGTTTTAGCTACTAGATGATTACAGTCCCCCTGTAATGGAGCACTCCCACACAGTCACCAACACCTGGATATGTGGTCACAGCAAAGAAATCTCATTGCTCATTTTGAGGTTGTTTTTTTTTGCAAAAGCCACAACTATATTTAATTTGCTGCAGCCACAGCAAAAACATCTTCAAGAAACAGTGGGGGATAGCTAATGTGAGCACTTTATTTTCTAGGAAACAGATTCCTACAGATTTGAGACATACCCTTTGGTCCACAGGACTCAGGCCTTGTGCTGTTTTCCCTTTCTTGCTGTGTTGTGAATTGTCACAGTCATATTCTACTTCTGGTTTGCTCAGATCTCTGCAGAATGTACATATCCACTCTCCACTAAACAGAAATAAACACAATTATTGCAGATATCCAGGGACAAAGTCGCATCAGTGATGACAATGATTTTTTTCATTAGCTCTTATAGATTTACATTGTACCATAGTAAAGACTTAGATATCCAAAGATAAGGAATAACTCTTAATGCTCAAGATAATTCCGCCAGTCAAGGCCATTTTTCCTGCCCTCATACTCCTCTCCCAAGTATGTTCTAATACTTTACAACACCTTTCTCAATATGACTTTAAAATGAACTTTACATAACGGAATCACACTTTAGGAAACCATATGTTTATCAGACAAATATTGACCAGTCACAATGCAGGCAGGCCTTTGAAACTCTGATTTTTTTTATTGACAAGAAATCTACCAGAACTAGCTGATGTTGAGAATGAAACACCAGTTTTGGTATGGTTTTTGTGTTGAAATCTATCACGTGAACGAGACCACAGAGCTGTTCTCAGGAAGCAGGACACTGTTTCTGGTACCTTGGAAAGCTGAGGAGCGTTGGTACGTGACAAGTCAGGTGAAAGACCTTGGGGCACTTTTCACAACATAACAGATCCCCTCCATTTTGGCAAACGGCACACCAGTCTTCATTTGGATCATCATCTTTGTTATTGCCTTCTCCTCCAATTCTAGCTGATCGATGCATTAGACTGCGCACCGGGGATTTTCCATTTACAAGGCTATGTCCAGACTGTTTGCAGCTTTCACTTAAATCTGCTGGTTCGGTTTTTACATGATTTTCAAGACTTCCTAATGCTTCTAATTCACTTTCCAGGTGCAAGTTAGTGGATAGCGGTGGCGTCAAGCTGCTCTCAGGACTGCTAAGCTGAAATGAAAGTATCAAATGAAAAATCAGAGAGAGTCAATTTTACAAGGGCATCTTTCTTCCTATGTTGGAAGTCAAAAGCCATACACTGTTTAAAGGCACTATACTCATTTTCCAAAAATAAGTGGCAAATCATTATGAAGACCCAAGCTGTATACAGTTTTGAAACCTACTTTTTTGCAAGTCCATCCTTTCAAGAACACACTAATTTCTACTGATATATAACATGATAAACTTTCAAGCCAAACACACTGATAAATTGTTAAAAATATACCTTCACTCTCATTAGGAAAAATCCTCCAATCCATCACTCTGCTCCCAGTACACAACTCTATTAAATCAAGTATAACTGGGAAACACTGAAAAATATTCACTTGCATAAATATTTTATTTACGCTCTGGCATAAGAGTTTTGGACTGACTGGAAGATTTCTCAATGTAATTCCATCGTATGAACGTTCAGGAACTACTGACAATGGGTGACTTGCAGATTTAATTAGTTAAGGATTAAAAGCAGCAGACACACTACATTGCTGGGGGTATTTAATTTAATAGCTAAAGATAAAATTCACACAACAGACTATCCTGTGTCTGGCAGAGCATAGTATTAAAGGATATAATAAAGTCCTCAACATGGACCAAACTGAGATTATTGTTTTCTATTGGACTACTTTCATCGCACAACTACCTATCGTAACGCATAAAACTGCCACGGACTGGGTGTGTTTTGCATCCACATCACTAGGTCAAGTCCTGTCCAAATCAGGAAGGGAAACGCCTGCCATCATTTAATGTGTATTTGTTCAACATGAGCCAGCAAGCTACAGCTTATTGGTACCTATGTCACAACTCCCCAGTATTTTGCAGTACTAGGAAAACAGACAGCTCAACACTCGAGCTGGCCCAGACTTAAAGCTCACACGTACTGCTAGGGAGCAAAATACCTCTCAGTCTTCAGGGCTGTTAATAGAATATCAGGCTTAAGAGTAAAATTACTTTTTGCTTCAAAATTCTTAAACACGATGCTAGGAAAACGGTGACATACTGTTGCACAAACTAACTTTACCATGCAAGCACTCCTTCTGCCATCCTCCGTCTTTTCCTGTTTTACTGTTCCTGAGAAACTGCATATCTCTTCCTCTGTCCCTGGCTCTTGCTTGACTTTCACTTGGTCAGACTTGAAGTTAACACTAGTTTTCTCAGCAGTTCTGCCCGAGGAGCCACAGCTAGAAAGATATCAGCACATAAATAAGAGGAAAACTCATCAGAACAAAGAAATTTAAGTGACTGTTTCCTGAACAATTTCAAAGGCAAAGCATATGAGAACATTTACATGATAGCTCAAGTTTACAAGACATCAGAGAATCATAATGAAGGAGAGAAGAGAGAAAAAAAAAGAAAAAAAAAATCATCTTCATGTAAGCATTCCTCCATTACTGGGTCATAGTTATATCAAAGCCCTACTGACCCATTGCCAATTCATTTTTTTAATTCTTTGTATCTGATTTTTCAGCCTGGCAGTGTTAATGTAACATACTCACCTTCCTCTGCTACCTGTGCTGGAGGTACTAGGTGGTCTCACAGGAGTGTGGGAGTTGGATAGACCTGCAAAGAAGAAGTGTAGATGTTGACTTGGTACAAATTTACATTCTGCAGTAAAATAAATGACTAGTGTTGAGTAATGCCAGAAATGCTGCTAAAACATCCTAAATTAATAATTCATATGTCAGCTTCCCTCTCGGTTGTTTGATCAGAACAAAGATCTAGCACACCATGTTAAATAAAAAACCACAGACAACACTCTGTTGCTAGAGTCCCAATAATTATTTCACCTAATCCAAACAGTGCCATAGCCCTCAGCCCATTAAGTCCTCAAATTTTATCCACTGACATCCACCGATAAATTCAAGAAAAGCATACTCTGTATGTTTTGCATGCAAGTTTTGTGAAACTTCCCTTTTGGCAGGAAATGGTAGGTAAGTATTTTCAACTTAAATACCAGAAATACCCATTACATTTACCTGATGACCCTGGAGATAGAGCTGAAGGTCCTGGGGAGGGATTCATGGTACTTGTAGGTTGTGGGGGTAGATGGCTGCCTGTAATGTATCTACTTAGGAGGTTATCTAAATTACTTGAACCAGCATCTTCAAGCTAAGAAATAAAAAACAGAAGTCTGAATCAGAGAGGCCTAACTAAAGTTTCTTAATAATTCTATGTCTTCAAACTGTGATCAATATCTTTACCAGAATTGTTCACTATCCCTTCAAGAATTCGGGACATCAGCAAACATTTTTTATCAGTTTCACACAGAGATCAGTCTTTCAAAACAGAAACCCATAGCCGGAAACTTAAAGTAAGATTTTTTCAGAAGCTCCTAAATATCTGAGTTCTTCCAGCATGGAAGGCTGTACTTAACTCTAAGTTATTCCAAACTTTTTGGTTCCCAGATGTTCAGTGTGTTAGTCATACAAATGGTGTTAGTCACAAGAACTACCAGATTACTAATGTTGCAAGAGTTACTCCACAATTAAGATATTAAAGGAAAACATGAGCTTGTTTTTCCTTAGCATGATGTGAAATCTCCCTCCCATTCACTTTTTACACAGATTTTAGTATCTATTAAAACCAAGGAAACAGGTTTAAGCAGTTAAAGTAATAAGGTACCTGTCAACTGCAAGACAGCGTAATTACAAATAATGTGTTTGAAACACATTGTATTCAAAGCAACTCTGCAAGCAACTTGAAAGACTAATAGCTTCCTATACAACTCTTTCATCAACTAAAATCTCTAACAGCTATTACATGAACAGGTATTAAAAAAGAGCATCTTAACAGAATTCTGCATTTTCAGTGCACCTAGAAGTTGCCTGTTTATGTTTTAGACTATCCTAACAGCTACTTCTAACTCTGTGTATCATGAACTTTAGACACGTACAGCTGAACCAGGCATAACCAGTTATACTTGTGTTTTGTTCTAATGACTAAACAAAGCTTCAGCACTGCGGATCAATCACATTCAGAGATGCATTCCTTTTCTCTCCATTATTCTTATATTAGCAAATAACCTGCAGCCTCACAAGAAAACTGAACGTACGACCCTTGAACATGACTCTCTACAGATTAAGAGTTAAAAAGTTGCTACTGGTGTTACGCAGCAGACCATCTGCTTGGATGAAATTTAAGTTTTGATTCTAAGGTGATTGTTTCCTGTATCATGACAGAATCTCCCACGCTTTATACGGGCACTTCAACGTAAACATCCTGTTTTCAAGACAAAGCCATCATCCTCCTCTCCCTGGCCTCCCAAACACTCCTGCAAAAAACATATTCCTTTTACTTTCTTTGCCTCTGCTCATAGTTTAAATTGTGCTTCTGACCTCTCCACATGAGCTTGACTTCATCAAAATCTACCTCTGCTTGCACCAAGGGTGTGCAGATGAAGCGAAAACTACAAAAGCAGCAACAGTCACACTCTGCGCAAGCAAGAATTTCCAGGTAGACACCACCACCACAGCTCAGGTTTAATCACAGAGGCCAGCTTAAGCGTCCTGCAGCACCTTCCAGGATCCAACGCTAATGTAAAACAACCATTACAGCCACACTACTGGGGTACAGAGGAAACGTGAGGAGAGAGAAAAGTAGGGCAGTAGGACACCTTTTCTCTGTACTTCCTGCATTTGATTGTTATGTTTAGGAACATTGCAGAGAAATGCCAGGCAACTTTAATTCTGAATAAATCACCATTCAGGGCATTCGACATACGTAACTATTCAACTATTCTAGTCATATGTTCTCATATGATAGTCTTGTGGAAGAAAAGAAGTGAACACAGTACTTGGGATTAAATAATCTAAGTATCAATTTTAGTATAGAACAGCCATTAAATACTAATTAATCTAAAGGTTAAAGCAGGTTGAGCAGGTCAGCCCTATATAGTGAAAATAGTTGCATGCCCAAGTCAATGGCTGAAGATTTTCATTCTTCGACTTTAATTGATAACTAACTATACCATTCCACAGACAAATAGTGGTATCCAAATAAAAAAAAGATACGGAAAGGAAACCAGATCTTTACTTCACCCCCAGCGTAAGTCCCTGACCTTCTCCACTGACCTGGATGGGTGGGATATCCGGCAGGGAAGGTAAATTCTCTGGGTTTGTTACAGAAGGAATGAGTTCGATTGCTGTAACGGACGGACTTGTTGGACCACGGTTTGCACTCGCCATTGTTGCTGTAGTAGGACTAGTTGGATTAATAGTGGTGTTGTGCACAGAAACAACTGGAAAAGGCCCCGCGTGCCCAGGGTTAGAATGCTGTAGGAAAAGAAAAGAGACCGTGGCTGCATTACAGACAAATCAGACAGCCACTGCATGCAAAACTGCAACACGTGCATTATATGATAGTACTCAACAAAAAACTGGGGGGGAAGAACATAACCTCACATTTCTATCAACATAACCTGATAGCACTGAATGCAAAGCAACTGCTATTTTTATTCACTTGGAAAGAAAAAAACACTTTACGTGGCTAGATATTGAAATACACAGCACATCTTCTGCCAAATCATTTTCATATATATATTTTCTTAAAGCAATTACTTCCTCCAAAGACAACTTTAGAGTCCATAAGTCTGTCTACAAACTTTTTCTTTTTTTTAAAAAAAAGAAGAGAGTAACTGTTTCAAGTATTATAAAGTCATTTTTGGTTGTCCAGTCACATTAACCTTCACAGTCAAGAATTTTTTTTTTTTATGGTATTTTAATGGCAGAGCTCTGCATTATGCTTCAGGTTTGAATTTTAAAACACTTTAGAATTTGATTTCATTAAAAATCCTCAACTACCTCACTTTGAACTTCACTATTCCTGACTAATCTCTAAGAAACCCAAAAGCTGAATGCCACTGAAAGACAAAATGTTTTGTTTCCCAGAACTAAAATGCAATACAAACATTAGAATTCATTTTCATTCTTACGGTTTGAATTTTTTCATATTCAGCAAAAATGTCACAGTACAGTATGCAACATGAAAAAGCATATAAATGTGTGTAGCTGTGAGTTACAAGCGTTACAGATAAACACATTTACAGCTGGAGGTATCATCTATTGTAATGAAAGTTTGGCACAATGGCACAAATGAAGCGTGTACACAGGATATACTTGTCTTTGAAGGTGAGGTTGCATCATGGAGTATTGTGGTCCATTGTGGCGTGGTATTCCTGGTATACGAGCAGCATTCTGAGCCATTCTCATCTGATGTGCTTGGAAAGCCCCACAGTTCATGTTACCCCTCTGCATGGTCTGCATGCTGATCAACCTGGGAGGCTGCAAGGGTTTTTGTTTTTTAAAATTTTTGCTTTTAACATGGAAAAAAGAAGCCAATCTCTTTCCACAGTAGTAGGTTTACTATTTACATAACATCAAGAAAAGCCAATAGCTGTCACATTTAAAGCATGTCAAATTTCAAAAGATTTTCACGTCTATAAACTGCTTTCTAAGTTTATATTTGATAGGGCAACTATAAGGCTCGGTGTTATGGCAGAAGGTGAAATAAGGACATACAAGATACCTGCTGCTGTAAGATTTGTGGATGGGCTTGTCTGCCTGGGAACTGACCCAGCTGGCTGTGCCATCCTCATCTGCTGCAGTTGCTGATGTTTTTGTGCATACACCTGCTGCTGCATGTGCTGAAGTCGAAGCTGCGCTAGATTGATTTGTCCTGGAGCTTTGTTGATGTGGTTTGTTCCTGGAGGAGTTTGTCCAACCACTACATTAGGAGTGTAACTAGGAGTTGGTTTATTTTCAATGACAAGGTTACCTAAACAAAATAAATAAAAAAAAAGAACTAGCACACAGCTAAGTCTCCATTGGTTTATTTTCAATGACAAGGTTACCTAAACAGAATAAATACAAAAACAAAGAACTAGCACACAGCTAAGTCTCCATCGTCATCCAAAGGCTGATAAATGCAGAATATTCAGATGTTTCTAATTCAGTTTCCTATGGGGCAGTAACAAAGCAACTGAAGTTTGAACTTCTCTTTTTTAAGTCTCCATAACCATTCATGAGAGAAGCAAAAAGAAAACGCAGAACTAAAAACATGATCGGTGAGGAA